GGGATAGAGACGCAACACAAGCATAGAAGCTGTTGATCGCCTTTAAATTAAAATTCTTTTTTTACGAGATTCTCTTTCTTTCTTATAAGTTGTCTAATAAGTCTTTAAAGTTAAAGCTATTATACGTAAATAAAAAATTTTAACTTTATATAATTATTCTCTTTTACATATACTATTGTTAATAAATTTTTAAATTTTTCTTGGAATTTATAACACAGATATTTTTGAAATATTAGGAAATATTTTATTTGATTCTTTAGATTACAAAATACTATTAATAAAATGTATTTTTTAAATAAAGATGATTTATTTTTTTATTTTGTAATATTGTTATAAATCTATGTTTTACGAACTATAAATTTTTAATTTAATGTCTATTTTTTAAAGTGTAAAGAAATAATACTCTACGATTGATTCATTCTTCAATTTTCATAAATTAATTAATTCCCATTGAGAATTATAGTGGAATGTCATTTTTTACCCGCTTGTTTTGTTTTGTTATACGCTTACGATTTACATCCAATATCTTCTCTACATTTAATATACATAGCATCGTAATTCCACACGTCTTGTGAATAAGTGTATACGCGCGCGTGTACGGCGCGTTATGTCACTGCCCCGTGAGGGAACAACGAGCTACTCGAATACAAGGCTTGCCAAGATGACGCCCTGGCGTTTTATAGTTCCGAGAATAATGAGTGTTTAGCGCTTTCGCACGCTGTACTTAAGCGATATCGTTTAAACAAAAGACGCTACTCTGTGTCTTTCTCACGACCCGCCGTAAGCGATATTCCAAACATGGGTCACATAAATCGAATCTGTCTATATGATCTTTTTTTTCACTCTCTTACTCACTCACTTTCACGTTTTTCTCCACTGTGCTTGATGGTCTTTATATACTTGAAATTACAAGCAATTGAAAATGATTCCAAACTCAATTTATTTATATTTGATAAGAGCGGGGTTTTTAACATTTTATGTTAAATTTAAAAGAACTTGTTGATAAAAATTGAAGAGATAATGATATATGTATACGTTAATTTTAGCTACACATTAAATATCTTATCGTACATGTTAATTTTTTGTATTGATATCCATTTATTGCTGCAGAAATTTTTTTCCTTATTGAAATGTAAAACATTGATTGTTGATATCAAATATTGATGAATCCATATTAAAAGCTTTTTAAGTTTAAATATTTTTTGTGTATTAAATCAAGTATCTAATCCTGAAGTAACAGAATATTAAGTTAGATAATAATTAAAGATAATTCATTTATTTTTATCTTAAAAATTATTTATTTAATTCTATTTTGTTATAATCTGCTAGGATATCTGTTTTTTAACTATAGCATTATGTATAGCATTATATAGATTATAAAAATATGTATACATACTTTTTCTTCTCATGTCTCGTGTAAATGCGAACTATTGTTCGCACATTGTCGTCGCCTAACGCTGCTGAAAATACATTGTTACGTTTGTTGACAGCAGTAGCTTAGTCTGAATATACTATGTATTGTAACCTAGTTTTACTTCTGTATTAGACTTTAAAAATAAATATGTGTGTAAAACACCTAAAGAGCATTATAATACTTTATTAATTCTGTATCTTTTCTGATAAATGTTTTGTTGAACTTTTTTAGTTGTAACTTTTATGTAATTTAGAATTAAATGGGTTTGATTTTTTCTTAATAAAAAACATTATTAATATAAATAAAAAATAAATAACAATTTTTAATTTATACTAATATTATCAAAATTTATAGTATGTGGAGAGAGAGAGAGAGAGAGAGAGAGAGAGAGAAAGAGATATATTTTATAAAATAATAATGCCAATAATAATGCAATTATAAAAAGTATAACATTATAATAATTTATAATAAAAATATTATAAATGTAAACATTTAAAAAATAAGAAAAATATATACAATATGTTAAAATGTCAAATTTCAGGAATTCAAATATTAGAATTTTCAAATTCTGTTGGATCAATAATGAATTTATTTATGTCTGTATTTTTGCACACAATAAATCAATAACGATAGATTTATTTATCTATAATTTTTTACATCTGTTTTATTTAATAAAGCTTTGCTTATCATTAAATTTATATATAATTAATTTTAAGGTATTTAAGGTAAATAATTATTCACAATAGAAATATTGATTGAAAATTGTGCAAATCGTGTCATCATTAGGCTAAATAAGATAAAGCGTTATGAACACGGCAAATACAACATTCTTATTATCTAACAAGCGTGATATTCTAGGACGCGCGCCGGTTGCAAATGCGATCATTTACAACGATAGACGTCAATGTTGCGAAGCCGTAACCGCCTCGTCTGCGCGTCGTCGATTACGATGATTATATAAGTACATACTGATACCTATATTGGCTTACAGTAATTCTGTTTTTTTTCTTCTCATTGCCGAAGAGAGAAATATTTAATAATTTTCAAACTGCTTAAAAATTTTACAGTTGTAAATGGATAATACGATATTTATTTATTTATCATACAAGCTAGATTTTTACTTATCTGATGTCTATAAATTAAAATTACAATTAAATTAATTATAATCAAATTAAAATTTGATCAATGATTTTTGAAAATCTGTGATTTTTAAGAGAAAATTTGTGATTTTTTTCTATCAAAATTAAATTTATTAAATTAATTTATGCATGATACAAGGAGAGAGAAAGAGAGAGAGAGAGAGAGAGAGAGAGAGAGAGAACTTACTTGTGAATAATGAGATTTTGTGTTACATTTTTAAGCATTTTGACGGTGACATAATTGCGAAATTATTTTTCTTGCTTCACAGAAACATATCGCGAAACAACCGATTATTTACTTGTCGTCGCGGGACGATGTAACGAATAAAGTCGCGGCTGCTTGCACAACACGCCGGCTAGATGCTTATGCCTATCCTCGTAATAATGCAATTACGAAAATGGCGCGATTACGCCTCCTTAGGCGAGCGTGACTTACAACAGGGAATATTGCCGGCAGGACACGACGCCAACATTTCTTTCCGTCAGTAACACTACCTTTTTTCGTACGACACTAGAATAACCCGTTATTACAAAACCGTGTATTTATCTTATTGAGAAAGGTTTATTCAATCTTTTAGACAATGAAAACGAAATCTGTATAGCGATCGAGTACGAAAGATCGGAGGCGTGCACAATAAAAATGGTGTTAAACGGTTGATACTTGTCAAAATATTGTATTAAATGTATAACATGAAATTATATATATTTCACATGTACATCTGATTAAAGTAATTTAATTTACATCCTACATTTAATTTAAATAATTGACATTTTTTAAAATTAATTTATAATTAATGAAATTTTAATATAAATGTTGACTCGATTCAAATATGTATTTATTACAAAACTTTTAATGTTATACATTTCAGATTAAGCGAGAATAAATAAATGTTTGTATTTATTGTAATATGCCTTTATTGTATGTTTATTAGTTATTTGAATTAAAATTTATTATTAATATTATATGAATTTGAGAATCTAAACCGTGAAAAATCTAACTTACTTGAAAGATTTATACATATTTTAGGTCAGTTAAAAGTACAAGTTTATTCAAACAAAAAGTAATATATTATATCATCTTTGTAGCATTAAACTATCGGTATATTTCACTGTTTATTGTAGAGCAGAGGGGAGACATATTGTATTGTTGCATAATCACTATGCACGTTTACGATAAAACCCAAGTGGGCCGTAGTGATCTCACTTTATGACCCAAATTTGCGCAACACGAATGGAAATACGATCTTACGTAGCAGCGAATTGGACGTCAATATTTGCGTGCAAAATCAGAATTATAATCTGAAAATTGAGTACTTAGCAGAAAAATACACGAGATTATTTATAAATTTTATTTAAGCAAAAAGAGAATTTTTTGTATTTAATATATTGACTTCGTGTTTGAGATTTAGAAGGATAAATTCATTTGTTTATTGTACGTATAAATAAATTAGTAGGGTTCAATAATTTATGCGATTGCCACCTTAATAAAATAGGTCTCTTTCAGTAAAAATCATCTTTTCGACGTGTAATAGTTAAGTTCTTGCGAAAATCATCAGTTTAATAAAAATAGCCTTTCTCAATCAGTTTTCAACAGTGCAACGTAACTTGTGCGTCTAATGACGTAATGGTCGCACAAGTTTGTAATAATTTCATATGGTATGTGTGGTAATACATAATGTTTTTGCAAGTACCAATCACCAATTAGTCAAGAGATGGAAATCTCTCTCGGAGAGATCAGTTTTCAACTGATATGTGATTGATTCTCGCGTTCTGGACCGCAATCGACAATCCACTTCTGCTCATATCTACTCATATGTAATTAATTATACTTGATCATTATCTCGATTATTATCGCAGTTTTTACTTGCAAGTTTTTTTATTTTTTATATATCACATTTTTATCATACACAGAGAAATTTGCGTTATACGTTACGCTGCGTTCGTCTCGATATCTGCAGTTTTTCGAGACATTGCAATTTCCCCTACAGATTCATTTTCTCTTACAAAGTCTCGACAAAATAGACACGCACACATAGACATTCGCTGGTGATTTACAAAACGCGTCTGTATCTACGCTGGTAGTTTGCGTGGGCAAAGTGGTTCGAGTCGACGATATCGAGCGTGTTGAAAATCAATCGACGTCGGATCTTTCCCTCAGCATCTGCCGTTACATTTCAATGCAACTGGCTGATTTATCGTAAAACCATGATCACTCGAACGATTGCAAACTGTTACACGATAGCGATACTTCTCCGAAGCGGTTTCACGTAGTACGCTTGACGAAATATAGGTGAGCTGCAAGCTGTATTTAAATAGCTTCATAAAACGAGAGAACTACTTTTCAACACTGAGACAAATTAATACGTATAGAAAGCTTATTAAATATTTATCACAATTTTGTAAACGTTAGCGGAGCTCGTAAAAATTGTATATATAAACTTCAATAATTTTGCAGTTAATTAATTTTTATTCAATTGTATTTTCCACATATATTGATACTTTGATTACAAATTTGTTATTTATACTTGACAGTTATTCTTAAAATTTTACATTTATAGTTTACAGATGTTTCGAGTGACATTTTAAACTTCACACTGCATGTGAAGTTTATACGTGTCCCTAACCGGATACGACCGCGGTCAGTAACATATCGATATATGTCGAATATATCTTACTCGGTGAACAGTAGAATTTTGTTACGCAACTTCGACGAATCACCTGAAAAATATTCGCGTTTACATTCATATCGGGACGCAAACGATTCGCTTGCTTTGTGAAATCTTTTACGAAAGACTGAAACGGTACACATATTGTGTCATCTTGATTTCTCGCCGAGGTGGGCCGCGAAATACGCCGCGAACCACGAAGCTTCGCATATACACGAGCTTAGCCGTACTCGTTACATAAGCGGCTAAGCGATTACGTGTAAGTCTTGATGTGCTCCTCCGAATTTTACGAGTCTTGCTCTCCGAATTATCTTCTCGTCGACTCTCTGTATTAACGTCAAATCTATACTCGATAATATTTATCACGTTATAAATGTTAATATTTACAAGCATATCTTTTTATCATATATATATTTGTTATAGCATGATTTTGCTTTTTTGTCTCATTATATTATATGATAAATTCGAAGAAGCAATTGCAGATACCATTTTGTTATTGTTGCTTTTGCTGTTATTGAAATTACGCCTCAATTTAGCGCTGTCGATTTTGTAATTTGCAAGCCGAGGCGATTAGGGGCTTACGTGGCTGCTGACTAACGCTGGACTTAATCGTTACATAATCGGCCGTTTAACATCTACGCAATGTGCACGCGAGCGAGCGTATGTAACATCAAGGTTGACTAAACTTGAGGTAATGTCGAAAATCTTGCGTAAGTTACCGTATCCGCGCAAATGTTCGCCCGGATTCACGCCGATAACATCTGGCCAGGCGTTATCCAGATGGTAATTAATCGCGACAGATTTGTTTATTTAGCACGATTCCCGCGAGGTCTGCACAAAGTTCTGCTATTGCGCGATCGTGGATTATGTCACTATCAAGCTTGGGGATAGTGCGACCGATTAATTCAGGAAATCTATCGTGTGAACATTGGCTCGGCAAGAATATTGACGGTGACGGGTAATACGAGAAATATTGAGGAATTTAACACAAAATTCTAAATTTGTAGTATTATTTGATTTATCAGAAATGTAGGAAAAAAATATTAGTTTTATAAAAAAATGTTTTTTTGTTTCAATTTTTTAAATCTGTAAATAAATAAAGAAAAAGCATGAATATTTCTTGGAAAATAAGCGAAATGTAATTTTGCTACAAAATATTATTGCATAGATAGTATTTCGTTATATATTTGTAGCATTTCGCAAGACATGTAAGAACTTTTTCGATGTATGCAAGTATATATATATATATATATATATATATATATATCTGAAAATAGATATATTTAAAGGAAAATAAATACAAGTTTGGTAGAGATAAATGCAGGTTTGTCTTTAATATAGTGAATCAAAATGCAATCTCATTTCAATTTGGAATCAATTTCTCTCTCTAATAAAAATATTGAAACAAGTAATAGAATTATAAGCTACAGAAGATAAAACTAAAAAGAGCATTAATATTTTTCATAAAAAAGGATTGATTGGAAGTTGCTTAAAAGATAGACTTGCAAATTTGTCCCAGCAATTCAGACATTTTATACAACAAGATAATGGAAAACTTAACCATTATCGCAGCACCCATCGAGAATGCGTCGTGTGAAATCATAATCATAATCATGATTTTAATTATCAAGAAAATCAATCAATGTTTCATATATTGTCTTAAAGATTTTATTTTGAAAGGAATATTTGGGAATTATGTTAAAAATATTGACACGTATAGATAGAAATTTGACATTTCGAATTATGTTAATAGGCGGTTAATTAATTCATCTGCAATGCGATGATTGTGCACAATCGATACGCCGATATAGATTTGCAATACGAGAAAACATCCGGATGATAGGTTGATCGCGATAATACATTATTAGAGCGTGTCATTAATACACCATACGGTGTTTCGCTCTGCGGGCTGGCAGATTTCTCGGGCGATTGCCTCGTAATTGCGAAAACGGCGCGCGCTTGCTCCAGCGTATATCATCGGAGAACGGACGAAAGAACGGGCTAAATTGGATCGCATTACGTAAGTCTGCGGGATTAAAGAACCAGGGACAAATCCGTACGACTCGCCACGATTAAAACTGTAGTAACATTCGTTGTAGTTCGACGAATGCTTTACATTTTCCATTTTTCGAAACAAAATCTTTTTCACGTGTGACATGTATATATCTGCAGCCTTCCGTTCTATACATTCCGAAAAAGTCTAAATACTTCATTTGGCGTCAAAACTATTTAAATGCACATTTATGCATAATTTTCAATCAAACTGATGAGAAACACAAATATAAGAAAATACGGCGAATCTAAAACGCATTGCATATTTTTAATTTTTTAAAAATCTATTCTTGCGTTCATTACAATTTATTTCGTAAAGTTAATCTTTAATCTTAACATTAATGAGTTTAAATATAAAAAACAAATAAAATATATAATTTTTAAATTTATATTAAATATGTCAATCAGATCTTGTGCAAGCAATCTAAAAATACGAAGTTAAGAAATCGTGGAGGATATATTTTCATATGTATATTTTTATATTGCAACTATAATGTGGAGGATGTCGAGATATAAAATGCTTATTTTATAAACTGAATAGATGTATTATGATAAAAATATTTTCTTCATTTTAGATAATTGAAAAAATTAGTTAGCTGTCATTATTTCGCATCAATTTTGATTCATAGAATTATGAATCTAACAATAAAGGCGTTATTATTATTTCTAGTAAACTTTGTCACGCTGACAAAAAAAATTGATTGTATGAACTAAATTTGTATAATTGTTTGATCCAATGCACAAAGAAATGTATAGTTTATAGTAAGTTCATTCATGTCACCATCAAAATTTTTAAATCAAGAATTAACTAAACCAATTCAATTTAATTATTTTGTTCGAAATACTAATAGTATTTATTTGTATTTGCATGTTATTTAGTTATCCAAATAATATATTTGTGCACATTCCAAGTATCACGTCACGTTTTGACTAAACGATGATGACGGGGATAATGAATAGTGTGTATTTTTAATTAAACGTTGAGTTCAATACGATAGATTTTTGTTGAAACAAAATAGTTTAGTAAAAAAATAGTGTTTTTTTAATAATGATAATAAATTATTTTATGCCATGTCATTGTAGTAATGTTTAGTTTAACATATCGGATTAAATATTTTAGTAAGGAGAAACAAATTTTGCGTTTTTTATAAAGCAAAATTTTTTTTCTAATTGCAGGGATTGCGATCAATCGCACTGTTCAATGCAAATCAATAATATGGTTAAATACAATAGTGATTCTTAGCGATCTCAACCATCTGTCTGGTCACTCTTCGACAGCCTTCGAGCGTCCTTTCTTCGAACAAAGACTTGTTGCCCGATCGAGAAACAAGAGAAAAAAAAGAAGAGGAAAGAAAGGAAGATACGCGCGGCGCATGATCCACTCGGGCTGCATAACTGCATCCTGCTCGGATCTGACCTTGTCTGGGTGTTCACCCGACGACGGCCCACCCGTCCGGATCGCTCTAGTCCGCCGCGCCGTGACTTCGAGGCCGAAGCAGCGGCGATCCGCTTGCTTATGTAATGCGAAACGGGTCACAGCCAGACGCACAGCCGAAAAGAGCCCGCCTTTCTCCGCCACGCCGACCGCCAACGTTCGCGGGAATCGTCCGCGAACGCGAGCGTGATCATACGAAATCGCGATGGTTGATCTCGATCACTTGCGCATTCCTACAACGATGAGCTGCGCCATTCGATTCTATGCCAACAAAATTCACTCAGTATAACAGAAAGTTTTCGAAATATTATATAGTTACGTAATTATGCGTATCAATTAAGAATATTATTTTTAATAATATTCCATTAATATACATATTTATATACAAAAATTAAAAAGAAATTAAATAATACATTTACATATATGTATAAATTAAATTCAAGATTTTTTAAATAAAATTTATTTAAAAAATAACATTAATAACTTTAAAATAATCTAAAAAATAATGAAGAGCAGATGTGCATTTTTGTATGTACTAATTTATTCTGTACATTATATAAATGTAAATATAACTATAAAAAATATTTAATATATGCCATATTAATCACTAAATTCGATAATTGATTTAAGGAGATTAAAATTTATACAAATATTCTATCAATATAAACCATTCGCATAATATAAAAGAACATCTTTTTAGATAAAATATGCTCTGAATAATAACGAGCTTTAATTTGCGCTATTTCGTTCTATTTATAACATTTATATCAAACATAAATAGAGTCTTGTTACTCTTATTTTTCTTACTCTTTTTTCAAATTTTTTCTTCAACTGTTTGTTATGTTATTGCTCGTAAAAACGCAATATAACGAGTGTACGGGCTATATAAATGTAATGCGAGTATACCGCAGTGTGGGTTCGCCAAATGACTGTGCTGATCAGCCGACCCTGCGGGGTACATGCACTTCGAACTGCATTGAATTTACGCTGCCACGTGCAGATTATATAAGAATCATTCGCGTTTGAGTAATCAACGATATCGTCGCGAACGCAGCCATCGATAAATAAAGATAGCTTAAGCTTATCGGTAAAACGTTCTATTCGTCTTGGAACGAAACCGCGATGTTTCTTATCTCCGTCCCTGTTTTTTCCGCGAATTGAAGAGTATCTCGCGGAAACAGCTAGATTTTTCTCGCGCGCTGATAGTCTATATACCCCTTGTTGGCAGTTGCATTTCCGGTGACGATTAGAGAAAAGAATCGCACATGCTGACATCGCAAAATAACAGAAATTATATATACAAACGACATCAATATTATGTTTCTGGTTTACGCACGCAGAAATCGGTTTTCTTAGATACACGAGCTTTGCGCAAGCAAACAAACGTGACGCAGATATAAAAGTGCGCGCAGGGTGGAACATGTCGGATTTAGCATGTATAAAATTCATTTCTTCCTCCTTTTTCCAAGAAGGTTGACCAGTCATAAAACGCGAAATTTATGAGAGCATATAATTTATGTAATTCGCCCGGCCTGGCCGTGATGGTAAAATTAGAGACGGTCTGGAAGCACATCGGTCCTCGACGAAATTTTGTGCTCCAACATGCGTATCGTTGTCTCGCTTGAATAAAAGAAACATCGTAATGCAACTCTTTGGGGAACTCGGCGTCTCGTAATTTTCTTCGCTTCGAAATAACGAAGAAGATCATGGGACGCAGCGTGTTTCCCAAAGCCACATTAAATTAATTCGGCGTCTATTCCAGAAGGTTCTCAAGGTAACGCTGCCTTGTACCGTATATTATATCAGTAGCATGAATCTTAAGCTAAATTTTGTAATCTTCATAGTTTCCTCTTTATAATAGGTTTAATAAATTACTTTGCTACGACCAATAAGTTACGTAACATTCTCGCAGAGTATAATTTATATTAATTGTGGAAACAAAATATTTGCATATTTCTTAATATTAATTGCTTGTGCGTAAATTTATTATTTTTATTGAAATTATAACAGTGATCTTAATTTTATGATACTTTGTAATAATTCGAAGAAATTTTTTAAAATAAAATACGTGTTTTGTTGCTTAACATATCGCATATAGGTATACTTTTACGCATTGTATATATCATTAAGAAAAAAAGAATTAGTATTTTGGATACCTAATGTTGTAATGTTGAATAATAATTAAGTAGCCAGCTATTACATTTAATAATTGAAGCAAAATTGAAGAAAAATTCAGAACATCTTGGTTCTGGAATTTACGACAATGGGTGATATGAGTTGAATATAAGAATATTCTTTAAAAAGGAGGGCAGTAGATAAAGTTCAAGTTATCCTACTGATCAACGTTTTTAAGGACACGGCACTTGAAAAGGAAGATTGTACACTGTACGCATTCTATGAAAATATCCTTTATGTGAACAAATGTATAGGA